GAATGCCTTCGTATGTAACTGTCATGCGTGACCTTTTAAAAAAATCATCTTTAAAATTCGGTCAAGGATGTGATGGGAGCATTATGTTATGGGGAGGGTGGGTGGGACAAACAATTGATACACCAGTGCAAGTCTTAGCAAGAAATAAGAAATTGTAAGAAATAAAGAAATATAGATATCTTTGCCTGAACAATTGGATTTCGGAATTTGAAAATGTGTAGAGGCGTCGTATTAAAAAGAATTCCTGTCTTACTTATCCATGACATCTTATTGACTTAAAACAGTTATAAAGACAATTGCATTGAATAACAAAACAATTGTTACATGTGATACAATCCATTGGTTTTTATACCTTGGAGTTAATAATATTTATGGAAATATACAAAGTACCATTAATCACATAACCTGCTCACGACACTGTTATGTATTTCGAGGTCATAGTCTGGCCTTAAGGAAAATGAGTCAGTTGCTTGCACTGCATTGAAACAAGCTTAAAAGTGCAGTTCTGTCATGAGGCCCTGTCATATATAAAATTTAACCATGACAACCGCTGCTAGGCAACACTCCTTGAAAGCTTAAGTTTTATGGACCAAATATCATAAAGTTTACAATGTTCCCCTCCCCAGTTCAGAGAAAGCATGGTCCTGATTAGGTAAAATTGAAGGTGTTTTTGAAACTGTGTCCATTATGTGGTATTACGTGGTATACATAATTTGCATACGTTTACACTGTGAGTCTGAAAGGTTACAGTGATGTGTTACATGACATTAAAAACAGTTAGGGTTTAAAGATTTTCAATATGAGACAATGATGATTTCAATTTGATCCTTTTCTGCAGTGTTGAGCTTGCAAGACTACTGTTGCCGTGTGATAGTCAACTGCACGTCCACTTACACAATCGACAAACTGCCTCTTCCGCCCCAAATGAGGTCGCGTCTCAAATCGTTCGCTGACGCCAACCACATGAACCGCTATCTGCTGCCCCCATTGGACTTGCGCTCCAAGAAGCGCAGAACTATTTTGAACGTTATGGACCCACCGTACTCGTCACGGAAAAGCTGCGTCATATCGTGATAGGATGCAATCTTGTTGTCTGCAGTATGGTCCCGTCACGTCAAGACTGTCTCCCTTGTTGTGTTTCATGCAAAACAGTTTTCAGTGGATGTACATGATGCAGATGTAGGTACATTTGTACCAAGCCAGGAGCTGAATCTCATTGGAGACCTCTTAGCCAATCAGCATTGCCCTTCATCATGATGGGTCTGCCAGGGGTCAACAGGTCAATTTCAACCATACAAAGCCATGGGAAGGAGGTTGATGAATAAGGGTCGCCATTACACATTCTGTTCAGCTAAAAAAGCTACTATGTGCATTACATGAACAAGAAATTCTGGTTGAGTGTCATACAATGCATTCAGCAGTGTTAAATGTAAAGATAATGGCTGGGATCTACTGTTATCAATTCTCCAAAATCTTCCAAACCTCTTCGTAGACTATATGATGCTTATCAATGCCTACACTGATCTAATTGTTGTGTCCGTGCAACAAGGTCGTATCTCCCAAAATGGCGTGTGACGTCATGTACATGAAACGCAAGTTTTCAATTTCAAAAGGTCGTATCTCGCTTAAAATAACCCGGATGTACACACAAAGTCAACTGACGTCGCGATACACGAGATAAGACCTTGTTACACAGAGCGTATTTGCGCTAGATACGACTTTGTTGCAGAATCGAGTTATGACCTTGTTGCACTGACGCGACGTAATATCTGTGCTTTGGGCGTAACCCCAACCTTCCAAAATCCTTCAAAATCCCCCTGGAATCTTTTGATAATTTGCAGGATTGAGGAAGTTGAACCCAACTACTCCTAATGTACATAGGCCCTGATACCCACTGAAAGTTTTGGAGTACAAAGATTTGCCATTGGGTTCTTGCATGTCAGAGAAGCCGTGCAAGGCCGAGTCTGAGTCACAAATCCTTTTGGTCGGTGGACCGGTGCTGACTCAGAACGAAACACATTCAAGAATCCACTGACTCGGCAACTTTGACTGGAGAAGAGGAAGCAGTTTCTTACTCCCTTGGGAGCAAGCAAGTTTGTCATCTTCTTAAAAGCCCTACGTGACTGATGACTTGTTACCTAAAGTTTTTGAGTTTGACTTTTTGTTGTTTAATTGGACCTTTTCTGTTGGCTGTAGTGTGAAACTCTACAGTTTAATTTTTGACTTCCTAGCCTGAAGATTTTTTTTTTTTTAATCTGAAAGGGAAACTCTTCCGTTTGATTATCTGTTAGTACGAGTCAGCAGAGTTGTACACGAGCCAATCACAAGAAGGGTCAAGAGAAAGGAGTATTTTGAGGTTTCATTCTGCCTTAAATTTCTATCATCGAGACGCTGAGAAACTACGAACTGAAATCTCTCACTGGGGATATTTTGAATGACTGGTTTCCTTTTTGTTTGATGATTAGACATACAACATACACTGATTTGATATCATTAGTTAATCGGCCTGGTTTTCTTGTATGCATCTGTGACGGCAATGTGTGCTAATTACGTTTCTTTGTATCGCACATTTTTTCATTTCCATCATTGCTGATATGTGAACTCCGTGTAGCAATTGAAGATTTTGCTACGTGACGTACTTATGAGGGCCTGTAAAGGACACACCGTAGGCGCAACTTATCAACTGATGTGCACAAACCCCATAGGTACTGCGTGTTACACAAATGCACCAAACATGGTTGCACAGGGACAGTAATTTTGTGCTCAATTGTCACTCAAAAATATAGAGGGCTCACTTCTGCACGGAGTCCATATGTCGAGCATGAGTGCATTTTGTGAGGGTAAAAGACATCTGACGTTGACAATAATATCCATGTTGCCTATTCTAATTTCACTGAAAACAATGTGGCAGACAACCAACAATTTTTATAACAAGGTGAGGCTAAAAGATGAATCAGAAAGGACATTTCATGAATTTATTTCATGATATCGCAAATGTTGTTTTTTTACGCAAAGTGTTGTAAACAAAATAATTCTGTTGTAAAGACATTTGCAATGCACTAGATGCAGTCTGCAATTTCATGGAGAAAATTTGCACCTTTTTAACAGAAAATTGCGATCTTATGAATTTTTTTTATAGAAAACAAATGTCAGCATGTTCCTTTCAGGCCACCATAAGAGGCCATTGTAAAATCCGTTCTTGTAGTTGTGCATTGATGGTAGTTTTTCAAAGCGTTTGTAAATAGACCTGTACAGATGCTGCCATTATACACAAATGGTGCGTGAACGTGTTCTGTATATAGATGAAATTGTGAATAGATTTTAAAATGTATTCAATTTGGATGAGAATTACAAATGGCAGCAATAGATTAAAGAAACGAGCAAAAAAAAAGTTATGCAAAACTTCCATGCAGGCTAAAAGATAAAATGCATGGAATTTACACAACTCGTACATATTTTGGTGCATATTTTCCTCTAAATTTCACTGTAACTTGGCTTCTTACCATTCTTCAATATTTTTGATATACTTGTTGAAAATTTCAATTAATATTCAGTTGGAAGTTCATCATAGCTACGTGGAAAGTTTTGGCAAAACAAAAAATACAAATTGCACATGTTGGTCTGTGAAGTGCTTTGGTTTAAATCAGAACCCTGGCTGAACAGGCTGAAAAATAGTGAAAAATTGTAAATGTTCACAATGTTGCCATTAACATGGAATAAATTTGCTTCCACATTATAGTCATTCTTAAGTCATTTCATGTAAAAATCTCATGATGGTATAAAAGTAAGTTTAACCCTTACTTAGATCCCCAAATAAAATGTTTTCCCTTTTTACTTCCCACCACTGAGTGTGTTGGTTTGTGCAGTTTGGCCAGGAAATATTATGGTTTTATTCCTAGTATCTCCAAATGTAGTTTTCCAACTTATTCCAGATTTCAAGAAAAGATTTGTAGACAACCCGCTTAAGGTCAGTTATTTGCAAGGTAATTTAGTTTGCCATATGTTTATTATTGAGTATATGTTCCATAAAATCAGTTGTCTATTTATACATGCACATCAACTCTGTTGTTATTAACTCATAGCTGGTATTAGTTTTGAAACTTTTCTAGAAAAAGTGGTTTGTAATTTTGTTTGAGAAATTATGTGGTCCACCTGATTTTAATTATTTAAAAGTCATTTTTGTTGAAATATCTGTTTTTATGCAAATTCTTGTGTTAAACTGCTTTCTGCATATATGCTTGAGAATGCCATGTGTTATTCATACAAAATTATGAAAAAGTTAAATAGAAAAGAAAGTGTTTTGAAATGGTTTTACAAATTTGTTAGATTTTTGTTCAGTTTTATAATTAAAAAAAAAAACCTAAAAAATCAGTTATCCAATCACACAGCGGGATGTGCTCCTGTGTTCAGCAAAGAGTGATTTTGATTGGTTGAAAGTTTTCCATGTGATTTTGCTGTACATTCAGCAATTTTTATTGGTTGACTTTATTTCTATGATTCTGTTCAATTGATTCAATTGGTTAAAGATTTAACCAGTTTTCTTGTTATTTTTATGTTTTGATGCTGTATGTGTTGCTGTCGTTATGGTGCTTGTGTTATAATGTAGGATAATTTTGACAGAATTTTGTGAATGATATGAATACTTTAAATTTATTGTGAATACAGCAGTTTGTTTGAATTAAAGCCTAATTACAAACAAGAGATAGTGTCGTAAAATGTTCATCGTGTTGTTGTTTGACTGTGGACTCATCATATCGATATTCCTTTTCAAAATACAATGAAATTAAAAGCAGAGGTAACGCCCCCTCCAGGCCCGCCTGCATTATTATAATGTTGAGGGCGCTCGACTGTTTTTTCGGCTGTCAAAATTTCAGTAGTCTGGTAATTTCTTCGATTAAAATCGTGCTCATGTTGAAAAAGGTACTAGACTACCTGCCGAAGGCTTGCATGTTTACAACTGCCTAGGTTTCTAAAAATTCGCACCATGAAGAACAGATAATGTACGGAGACAGTTGGCATCTATTCGTTGTATCGCGCAAAATATTAGGAACATAGAGGGTTCATGATATGGCAAATCATGAGTTTCGGCATGTGTAGAATGCGTAGAATGTCTAGACGAGATAGCGATGTCATCGGCACGAAAATAGCTCCAGAAAGAAGATTCGAGAGCGTGAAATAAGCGGACTTACTTGCTGAGCTCAATCACAAGGCAAGAACTAAGGAAAGATGGAACAAACCCATGCTGTGAAGTTGTACGTTTACGACTTGACGAAGGGCCTTGCCGCCCAAATGTCCATGCCACTTCTCGGTGAGTTCGGGAATTCTTGACCGCTGTATGTCTGTATGTTGACGGGGACTTCGAATTCTTTTCCCTCCATGCCCTCATTTGGGAATAGTGGCTAGCAATTTTCTAAGATGGCTTCTCAAATGATCTGATGTCGGATTGACTATGCTGTTCAAATATGGTTAAACGGTTGCCAAATAATGAGTAACAGTAGTCCTAATTGTTTTAGTAAATAAATTTGTTTTTTGTGCAGGGAAATTGTCATACACAGTTAGTCATTAGTCCGAGTAACTTGCATGACTTGGATCCAAGTTATCGCCTTTTGTTTATTACCTTTAAATAAACACACATAGACCCTATGATCCTTGTCAGGAGTTTTATTTCTTCAAGTGTTCAAAGTTTCTTCTGTTCAACTTAATCTTCTGTCCGCTCGGGCTTTACGCGCTATGTGGAGATATCGTTTTGTATACATCTCTCCTGTTGATAGTAACCAAGACTCTAGGATTGGTATAGTCAATTAACGCCTATGATAAAAATTCATTGTGTTACAAACCTCCTAATTTTGGCTACACGGAGCATCATAGTTCTAGGGGTAATTTTGGTTATAATACGGCAGTAGGCCTAGTAAAACTAAAACTATAGTACTTGTCTTTAGTAGGCTAACTAGTGAATGTTTACCTCATGCCCAAAACATTCTTGTCATGTTTGATACATTAGTGATCACAGCTTCATTAAAGTTGGGGTCTCTCTTTGATGATGCAGTCTTTTTTTCCATTGCAGTTATGATATTTCATTAGATTTGTCCAAACTGCAGCCGCTTGCACATACATGTGTATTATATTTATTTTGTTTTTTTCATAATTCATAGAGTATACCATCTCTCAAATGTTTACAGTGGAGCAATATAAAAATATCATCTGCATGCAGCTTTGTGAATCCATCCTTCATTGTTTGCATTTATTTTGGAATATTTTTACTTCAAAGAAAACAGTATTTTTTCAGGGAAAAACTTGGTCAGATAATCTGAAAAGAAGGCATCAGTAGTTAGTTAAAAAATTCACTTTACAAAACTATGTACATCTAAGAACTTATATTTACACTGTATTGTTTGAAAATGCTAATAACCGTTTTGACTTTTTTTTTCCCTGCAGGAAAGCATCTGGATGGGGTTTGGCATACAAGTGTCGTGGTCTTTGGAAGAGAGTACTTCTATGGTGGAGGTGGAATAGAAAGCTGCAAGCCAGTAAGAAAGTCGGATTCATATGTCAATACCCCAACCCTCTTATATCCTCCTAAATCCACTAGGAGATTTGGGACATCTTTGCAGGTTGAAGGAAGACAGAGCCCAGCCTCTTGTAACCCTCCTACTGTTTGATCAGTCACAGACAGTCAAAAATCTCTACCACTTCCCCTGTCATGCATTTGTGTACAGACTGGTAAAAAACAGTCAGATCACATTCGTGTTGACACTATTACTAGTCAAATTCCACCAAAAAGAGGTAACTGGATGGTAAAGCTGGCATATCAATCACCTCCAGTCAAAGCATGGTTATATTAAATTAAATAAGGAGATTCATAATGTTCAAAAAAGTATCTTGACTATAACACCCTGAACAAATGAAGTGCATTCACACAAGGTTAAACAGCTCCCTCTCTTGTTTGTGCACGGAGCCTATTGCAAGGCAATTGTTAACCTGCTAGATTTTTTCTCCCTTGTTTTTTTCGGCACTGTTTGTAGAGTGGCACCATACTTGGCCAGCCAAACCAGGTGCATGAGATGGGCACCACTCAGGTTGACTACACAATCTGGCTGGAGTACATGGGGGGACTGGGCTGCGATGAGTTCAGGTAAGGGCACCAGGGAATGATCGTTGGCTGTCAGATTAGAGATGTGTTACTTTCAGTCATGGGTACCAGTGAAAAACACTGAATCATTGACAAATTGTCTACTCTTGCCTATCCCAGGGCCGTACCCAATACCCACCGGCTGTTGGTATCAGCTCATCAGTTTCACAATATTGTGTGGAGAAAGTGCAAAACATCATACTTCTGTGACCTTCTGTGACCTATTATTGTATTAAAATAAAAAAATTAAAATGGCCTGATAGTTCAGCCTTAGCAAGGCCTTCTTCAGAGGTAAATGACAGAGGAACATTTGCCTATGTCATTTGCCTCGAAAGAAAGCCTTGCTAAGGTTGAAATATCATGCTCTTTTTTTTTTTATTTGTATATATTCCAAGTCACTCTAGTCAGTTAGCAGTTTGCAGCAGTTTAATTCATTTTCATCTATTATTGTAGGAAAGATTTCCATATACGAAGTTCACTCAACACCCTGTGTACAAACCCTATGAGATTGGACTGAAAAATTCTAAGTGTTTTCTAAGAAAATGCTTGTATTTTCTCACTGCTCAAATTGACTTTGATGACATGAAATTGCTATCTGGGGGCTTGTTAGTCAATACAGAGGAAAATTAGTGAACTTCGTATATGGAAATCTTTCCCTGAGGACTTCAGGAAATTTCATTACAAGCACCCTTGATATGGCAGTGGGTTCGAGCATTATACCTAGCGCCCCAACGAAACAGCACTGTCCTCCCCGATGCCTATATCATACAGGGGCTATTGTATGGATTCTGGCCAAAGGTTATCTATTCTTAACATTGTTTTCCTAATCTTTTTTCTTGCAGTGGTGAGCGCTACAATCTGTTTGAGCACAACTGCAACACGTTCAGCAATGAAGCCTGCCAGTTCCTGACAGGAAACAGCATCCCAACATTCATTCTGAATCTACCACACGAAGTCATGAATACGTAAGCTGATTGACAACAGACCATTAGAGTCAACTGCAAAATTGACTTAATCGGGAATCACAATTAATACTATTATTAAGGTGTACAACATTCGCGTGTAGGCTGTATCAGTTTAGTCAATTTATCTTTGGAAAAATAAGATTTGTGAAAAACAAGGTTCTTTCTGTATTTTTTTTTTAACTGTCCATACTTTTATTTTTTTCTCTTCAAATTTATCCCTTAAAAGCTAATTTCCTACTTCCAACCACTAGGTTAACTGTTAGTCCTTGAACCAGGTTGCTCCTAGTTTCACAAAGACTTCTCTGAAGGAGAGAGTTGTGAGGACAGATTCATTCCTGAAACTTTTGCAAATTGAATCTGTAATGTATGCCTCACAAGTAAAGTGACTTTGTTTGCTGTATTTCCATTTTAGCCCCATAGGCGCCATGATGAAAGGCTTGATAGAATCTCTGTCCTCCAACCCTACCGGGCGAGTAGGGGGTCCTACTCATCGACCCATCTACGACCCAGTCCCACTCCCAAACTACCCGGATCCACCCCCCGCAAAACCCTCGGAGGTAAAACCCGCTTCTGAAAGCACAGCCAAACCTGAACAAGCACAGAAGTCAGAACCTCATCCCTCGACCAGTGATGCGCAAGCCACCGCATCATCAGAAGCAGCTGCGACCAATAAGGGGGCAGACTCTGGGCATGCTCAGTCATCGGGTGCTACCGCGGATGTCGGGTCGCCGGTGAAGGACAGCTCAAGGGTCAACTTGTATTACGATTCAGACGACGAGTACATAGACTCGTTGCGCCAGTCTGCTCCACCGGAGCCCTTGCGGTTGAAGGTCTTCAGTGGAGTAGATGTGAGTAATCAGAAAAGATTCCTGTTGATTTTAAGCAATTATTTCAAATCCTGCTTTGTCAGCATTGGATCATTAAAAAAAACTTGATATTAAGTTATAGACATTGCCAGGCAGTGCCATTGGCCACTGTGATTCCATGCTCAAGTGCATACCTCTTTATGCAAAGATTCTACAAATTTGTTAACATTCTTTAAAAGTTAGTTGAGCTTACTCTGCATTATACATGTAGGAGACAACATCCCAATATCTACCATTGTTGCTAATTTGAGTCTAACGGAAAATGAATGATGCCCCTGAATTGTTTTTTAATGATTTTATTGTTAACAGGTTACAGCCTGTGTGGAAACCATCAAGAAAGAAATGCCGGAGGGGGTTCTGACGAGAGAGGAGATGGAGTTACTGATGGAACTGAAGGACTGCCTGAGGCTGGAGTTTCTTCTTGAAGAACCTCCCTCGCCAGTCAAATCAGAGACCTTCCTTGTCATTGGTAAGAGCAACGGTGATGTAGTCGAATCCATCACAAGTCCTTGCAAGTCCTCACAAGTCCCATCACAAGTCCCTCATGAGTCTGTCACAAGTCCCTCACAAGTCTCATCACAAGTCCTCACAAATTCCATCACAAGTCCATCACAAGTCCCTAACAAGTCCTCGCAAGTCCATCACAAGCCCCTCACAAGCCCCTCACAAGTCCTCACAAGTCCTCACAAGTCCATCACAAGTCCTTGCGAGTCCTCACACAAGTCCTCACAATTCCTCACAAGTCCATCACAAGTCCTCACAAGTCAAACGCAAGTCAATCACAAGTCAATACCAAGTCATCCAGTTCTCATGTCAAGTCACAAGCTATTCAAACGAACTTTTGACAAAGGCACTCCTTTGTTATTGTTCTTCCCCAGTGACTGGAATTGTAAAAGGACTTTTGATTAATACTTGGGACCAAACTTGTGATGGACTTGCGGTGGACTCAACTACAAGACTTCGCTACCTAGATTCGAGTCTGTCACGAAATTGAAATTGGAAGGATTATATTCGATGCTAATGCAAACTTTTCTCAATTTTGTTTTCTTTGATTTGCAGGGAAGCTGCTGAATCTTGCCATCGGAGGAATCCCGTCAGAGGTTCTTCATCCCCTGGTAGACCTGCTCTCCATGGCGTTCCTGAGCCAAGACGTCATACACACGCTGTGTAATAACGAAGATCAAACCGTCATGACGTTTGTCAGTAGCAGTGACTGCCATCCACTGCAAATCCAAATATCGGTCTTTAGAATGGTAGGTTTAATCTTTCACACACAATTTGAAAAATCTTACAATATAGGAATAAGTTTTGACATCGAGAATAATTCTGACTAACTTGTTGCATCCCATTGACTGACTCAACAGAGCCAAATTTAACTGTTCTACTTCCCAAAAAATGCTATGCTTATCCCTATTCTGTGCTTACAATACTAGCACATAAATGTTTTGCTCATCTTGTAAGCTTAGAATCCTCAATCCTTGGTTACCCGTGAAATATGCTAACCATTAGCAGACAATTTTGTAGTAAACAGAACCGTAAATTTTGGCCTATAATAGAAACCACGCAGTTCTCAATCAAAGAGTTCACTTCCAGCCAGACGCTATGCTATTTCCTTACGCTTTTCATGCTGCGCCCACTCAATTTCGACTTGTTGGAGACAATAAAGCTCCTAAAATATAAGAATTTTCAGTCGCACAATTTCAGACATTTTGCGCAAGTGTTCCAAATGGCTAGATCGCGGGTTTCGGAAATAAACTCTTAGACTTCAACACAGAGACAAGGGCCCACACTACATCAAACAAAACAACACGGTTGTCCTGCCCCCAGATCTGAAAAGAGGACAGTGATCCAACTTTTCAGACCCGAGTTCAAGAGGGGGTAAAATTTACAACTACTTAACTTTGAAATCGACGAAAGCTGCCCGTCATCTTCTTCACCAGCGACCGTCATCTTCTTCCTCATGGACCTGCACAGGACAGACGGACAAAAAGACAGAAAAAAAAGACTGCCAAAAATAGGCAGAACTATGTTAATACCAGTCACAAATGTACATCTTTGAAAATTCAACACATACATAAATAACAATTTTTTAATGATTTTTGTTTTACTTTTCTTCCTGCACAGCTGTGCAATATCTGCACTGCTTACAGCGGCAAGCACTGGTTGACTCAAGTCCGACATTGGACCCTTGAAGATGGCTCCCCGCAGTGCAACCGAGATATCGTGTCCCGATTGGTGGTGTCGGCCATACTGAGTGGCTCAGACGAATTATGCTGTGCTGCCTCGGCCCTTGTCTACAACCTGACCCGCTATACGGTACAGCCCATGTTGGAATGTCCCAGTTTAGAATGTCCCGGGTTGGAATGTACCAGGATAGAATGGCCCAAAATTCAACACCCCAGGTTGGAATGCTGGAGGTTAGAATGCCCCAGATTGGAATGCCCCAGGTTGGATGCCCAAGGTTGGAATGCCCACGTTGGAATCGGACCATCTTAGAATGTGCCATGGTGATTTGGACCATTTGAGAATGTGCACGTTTGAAATGAGACAGTTTTAAGTACGCCATTTCTATGTAGAAAATATTGGAAGGGATGGTCATAAAATCTGGAATGTGACAATTTAAGAATCTACACGACAACCATAGTTAAAATCCGTTACAACTGATCATGTGCATGACTCTGATAAAGTTTGATTTAACTAATCAGGCACAGTATACTTCACCTAGGTTAAATTTTGGAATGACTGATTAGGCTCAACACTTGGTTTAACTCTTGTTACAGAAATTAAAAAGATTTGGCCCTAACCCTGGTTAAACCTTGTAAAACTGATTAACATGATCAACTTTGACCATGTCTAGGTTTCTGATGATAATGCAGTTGAGTTCTCCAGTGCCTTGTTGCAGTCTCTCACATCAGAGGCCATCTCAGAAGAAACAGGTCAGTACAGTCATCTTTCTCCTTAAAAACTTTCAAATAAACCACAAAGAGAAACTAACTAGGTGCATTATAAGAAGTTTTTATGTTGAACAAAGAGATTGATTGGAGCGGGGTTTGAACCTGCGACCTCTGTATTGACGTTCCGTTGCTGTACCAACTGAGCTATTTTCTTTCTCTTTAACTCAACTTAACTCTCAATAACCTGAAAGTTAGGCTTCTAGTTTAACCCCTAACCCCAAGATTCTTCAAAAGCTACAAGGATCTTTTGAAGATATTGTAGGATTAAGGAAGGTAAAGCCCAGCCACTGTTGCTTTTCTCAGTGTCCCATGTCAGCGGTAGATTTTGAAGGATTCAGGTTGATTCCTGAATTTAGGTTTCAATTTGATGTGTACAATTTTTGTTTCATTTAAATTTTCTTTGTTCTTCCCTGCAGCCTATTACAGTCTGTTAGCCTTGTATGGTCTGATGAAATGCGGCGAGGTCATGTGTTTAGCAACAGTGATGGGTCTGGACACCGCACGATATGCCAAGATCTCGGACCGCCTTGGCAAGCTCTGTGCAGATATAGACAGCGTGATTGGTTAGTTGGTCAATTGTGACTTGGTAGTTAAGATGCTACAAGACATCAACAAACCTTGATATGAATAAGTGCAGCGTTTTGGAATCTTACCAATCTGCGTAGACAAATGGTATTGATACCTTGTACAGGTTTTTATTGTGAGAACAACAATTCATAAAAATGTGAAATGGGAATTCAAGAAATGTGACACAGGATTGAGACTTTTGATATAAGCCACGAAAGTTGTACGTGGAAACAAACACAAAGGATTTTCATAACATATTAAATAGTCTTTAGCCGCAATATTCATGCATGCCTTATGATTAAAAATGGTGTATTTATTACAATAACTTATGTTTAAGTAACTAGGTGAAAAAGTTTAATGACATTAATTTGCTTGTACAATATTACATTTCAAGGTGATTTGGAATCTAAAATTGTTTTGGTAAAAAGTACAGTGTTGTGTGAGCTTACTTGACATGTAACAAATCATTACAGTTTTTAATTTGTGTGGTTTTTAATGCAACTACTTTTAATATATGTCAATGCAAATTGCAGCTATTTGTATTTGTACATCATTTGTGATGAGTGGTAAATATGCTTTGGTTGCCACTTAAAATTTGTTTCAAGTTGACAATTCTGAAATCCCTGTTTCAATACTGGAAACTTAAGGAAGTCTATTAATGCAAAAGTGAAGTTGCCAACTCTATAATAGCAAATTTTCCTGACCAAGTATCCCGGTACATTTTGCACTTAGTGTTAGACCCCTTGACACCATCACACTTTTTTTGTGCAGTATAACTTTATATATTCAGAATATTTCTTAAAATAATATAACTAAAAAAATATTAAGGGATATAGGTCTATTTGTTTTTATTTAAATATTGAGTGATTATTATTTGGTGAATTTTATTTAAAAGTAACCAATATTTTTTATTTCCTGATATGACCACGACTTTTCAACATGATTGTAAGGCCTGTTAATTTTCAAAAAAGGTTTTAACATATCTGGTTGTGGAATAAAAATGTTATCAGAGAACCCTTCTCTTTCTCAGAAATAATCATATTTTAAAATAAATATGCGTACTATTTTGTGGTGCATTTTACAAACTGTGTATTGTGTCTGTGGTTTATTGTGTATTTTCCAAACATGTAAATAGTTTGAAGCCTTGTGAGAAGGTGGTTCTGCTCGCCCCTCCCAGTTCTCTCGATTATCCCCCCCCCCCCCCCCCCTTCAGCAAATAAAAAGGGACATTGAAAATGTGTTAATTTTTCCCCCGTATATTTACAATACTTTCGAAAAATCTATTATTCCGTAGATTTCCATAGTTTTCCTTTATTCTAGAAATATTTGAGCTTTCCAGCACTTTCCAATGTCACAGATATATTACTTGTCTCCCAAACTTTTTATCATAATCCAACACTTTATAGAGGGCGCTCTTCAAAAAACAATTCGTTCGTCAAAAAAAAGAGGGCGCTCGTCAAAAAAATATTCGTTCAATGAGTAGTAATGAGGTCGTGCAAAGTAGTGCATTATGAGTAATTTGCGCAAGATTTGAGATCAAAATATAGAACATTAAATAGACAAATACACGATTTACTAAAATGAATGTGTTTAAAATTGTCACTTGTCTTCGATGTTTGATTTTAGGGAGCATGTGATGACCGGATTACCATTGATTGGAAAATATTAATCCGAGGAATTTTAGTAGCAAATCGCAAGAGGGCGTTCTTTCTTTCCCAAGTGCGCCGCGTGTGCGAGTATTTCGTAAGCCGGTGAGTATGGAAACTGGGAAAATTCCGGATTTAATTTATAAAAATCTGAAATTGTTCCCCACTACTTCGATATATAAGGTAATGTTGTTCTACCTAGCCAGAAATCATTCAAAACATTGACTGGAAGGGTGTAAAAATAAATGATAAAGGCTGTGGAATGTGACTTGCCTACCGTCGCGTCAGCTCAGACAGACCGTGACTGAGACTGAGTTTTGTGTATAGGCACGGTAGAGGGCGCCATTTTGGCAAACTTCGCTTGACTGCATGCATACCAAGTTTACTTTTTTTGTTGTTCGCTTGTTTATGTTATGGTTGTCAAGCTTTTCATATTCCTGAATAAAAAAAGAAGAGTTTCTCGTCTGCTCTTTTTGAAAAAAATTAAGGAGGCAGGCATTTTCTTTTCTTTTTCTCCTTTTTTGCTGATAGTGATACTAGAAGGCATAGCCCCATAAATGTGGCCTATTTACTGGACTGCCTCCGTAAACATAGGCCACACATCCACATGTACAAAAATCGTGTCGACGGAGCCAAATTTTGATTTTCACATTTAGGCTTAGTTTGTAGGGTTTTTTTTGCTTTAGAAGCATACTCACCCTCTTTATAGGCTAATCAGAAAGTGCTGCCTTTTTCAGATGTATATTTTTCGTGAAATTTCCAGATTCATTTTTACACGTTTGCGTATCAAAATTTCAACATGAAATTTCACAAAAATTAGACATCTGAAAAAGGCAGCACTTTCTGATTAGCCTGTAAAGAGGGTGAGTATGCTTCTAAAGCAAAAAAACCCTACAAACTAAGCCTAAATGTGAAAATCAAAATTTGGCTCCGTCGACACGATTTTTGTACATGTGGATGTGTGGCCTATGTTTACGGAGGCAGTCCAGTAAATAGGCCACATTTATGGGGCTATAGTAGGCATAGCACTCTGGCCCAACATACAGTCTGCCGTACGCACGTAGTGACCGCGACATATGATGTAGTGCACTTTTCAAGATCGTCTCATTTTAGAGTCAATAAACCATCAAGATTATTTTTTCTTGTGTGAATAGTGTGTCATTTCTTTTATATTTGTACATTTTTAAAGTACATAATAAATAAAATGCAGCGACAATAATCGAAGTTATAAAATACACCATCATTACGCGCTACAGTCACGCAGGATCTTTTATTCCCTTCGCGCGCAGCTCAGAAACGAAGAGCAAAACCCCCTATTTTGAAATGGTCTTGGACAGGCCTTCCGCTCCTTGTTTGAGCATGAAACTTCCAAATATGGTAGACATGACCTTTGACATTATCATCACACTTCTTTCTTGGAGCTTACCCGTCAGTTTCGAAAGTTTGAAGCGTAGATTTAGTGCAAAGAAAACCCTCCCGTAAAAATTGAAGTTTCCACAATTTCGAGAAGAAAGAGGCACCGCACTATTGTGGAGAAGTTGCTCTATCACCTCATCCTTACAGATCATCAAATACTTGAGTGGAAGTCCTGTCCATTTGAGAAAAAATACAGCGAGTTTTTCCTTGCGTCAGTTTTGAAAATGACAAGAAGCGTGACCAAACGGTGTGTATACGGATGACGCTGTCGATGTCGCGGCGAGATTCTCGCATCTACTTGAGCGATTGCTGGCCAAGTTTCTGAACTAGTTTATGATTACAAATGCCCTGGTAAGAAAAAGAAGTGCTTGGTGACTTTCGTGGAGAAGATTGAATTCTATTTATTCTTAAAACGATACATTTTAGGTGACTGAAAAAGGCCAAACAAATCCTTGAAAAACACGGTCAAAGTTGAGCCGTGTGAAGGGAGGCATGAAGCATGAATGTAGCAGCCTTGGTTGAGCATTGCACGTGCGCGCACCGCGTTGTGTGTGGGCGCTCTTATCTACGACTGTTTCATGCGAGGGGCGTTCTGTTTGTGCGGTATGCGGTTGTGTTGGATTGATTCAGTTTCGTGAAATCTGCGCAGCAAACAGCACATGCATTTTGGCTAAACTGTGGCTGTTGTTATTTGCGCACTTACTCCTTGGACTAACTGAATGGATTTTATGACAGTAATTTTTTGTAATGTATTGTGAAATAAACAATTTACCCACGGTTGAGAAATCATGTAAACAAATATTTGTGTTATTTTTATTTCTTGAAACTGTGATTTATATAACAAAATGTAAAGAGGCAATACAAAAGATAAAACAAGCAAGGTTCTGTTTTGGATTAGGTTTGTAATTTTAATGAGCCGGACTGATTTTAATTACTACATACATATTTACATAACGAAGGCATTATTAAATATATTAAACAATTTGCTTAATGATGTAAATCACTTCTTTTCTCTAAATAATTGTTCCAATATTCAAACACATAGCTTGCATATATATATTTTTCATCAGAATAGGGTACTCGGAAATGAAGATACAACGTTTACGCATATTAATTAGCTGCACAAAGCTAATTTGCATAATTATGGAGGTATTTACTTCATATTGGGCTTGTAGACCCGTCATGATAGAGAAAGCCTACATACCAAATTTCATCACAATAGACCACTTAGAACTAAAGTTATAGTGTTTACGCATATTAATGAGGTGGACTTAGTCGTTTTTGCACCATTTCCAGTGTTTCCATTCTTGAAATTGGGAAAACGGGCACTTTTGACGGTCTGAGACTCAGCCATACAAAATTATATACATTCGGTTTTTGATGTACATGTAGTACATTTCCAGGTGGCCATTTTGCTAAATACTGTGTTTGAAATACTATTTGAAGTAATCTACATATTGAAAGAGCTGGTTAAAATTTTTAAAAACTCCTTTTTTGGGCTTTTATTCCATTTTTGGCAGGATTTCGCTAATTTTGGTGAACTTTAATTTACCATAACTCTGGAATGCATTGACCGATTTTCAAAAAACAAAAATAAGTATTCATCTTTCACATAGCTCTTTCAATTGGCACTGTCTGTTTACATATTGCACAATAAATAATTTTTTGTGTGCTATGCCTAATACTAGTGATGATACAAAATTGTGTCCAAGAAGCCAGGCACTACCAACGTTACATAGACTAACGTGACAAAGGCCTTGCTACAATTTTGTTGAAAACAAATAAAAAGATACTCGAATAATTCTAGGCCTATTTAATTGACAATATAGGCCCTATTTGAAATATATATTGCAAATGAATGAATTTGTAAATTAAAAAATACAAAAAAGAGGGGGTCGGTATAGGAAACAGATGGGGACGGGAAACGGGTTGATTTTTTTATTGGCCTAATAACAGTTACCAATTACTGAGCAGAAAAACCAAATTGCGTTTGTTTTCCATATCATTTCCAACCTTCAAATCCAGCTTGAAGTTCTTTCATTGGCAGATTTTTTATTTTGAGTGGAGTAAAAGAACAATTTTTCTCAAAACGATCCTGACAAAATGGAAGAAAAATGGCGAATGCAAGTGGTTCACTGCACAGTGTTTGATTTTGGCAGATGAAGGAAATTTCCTTAGCAAGAAAATATTTATTTGTTCACAGGTCCCTATAACACAACATCATGCCAAGAGTAGTGTGCAGCAAGACCAGCGTGACGCCCAGGCGTCCTTTTGAGAAGGAGCGTTTGGACCAGGAGTTGAAGCTCATCGGCGAGTACGGCCTGCGCAACAAGCGTGAGGTGTGGCGCGTCAAGTACACCCTGGCCAAAATCAGGAAGGCTGCCCGGGACCTGCTGACACGAGAAGACAAGGATGCCAAGAGGCTGTTCGAAGGTAGCCATTTCATCACAATTTCAATACCAGACAAATTGTCTATCCCTCACCCCTTCTAAATTTGTCTTCTCGTGGAAACAGTGACGATCCTGTTCAATGCAATTTAGAGACCAACTTAAACTTTTATCCCAACTCTCCAAAATCCTTCCAAATCCACCAGGAGCTTTTGGAGGATTTGGAAGCTTGAGTAAGGTGAAGCTCGTCCGCTGATACTGTACATACGGCTTGGATACGATAACAAAGAATTTGCAGTTGTTTCCAGCACGTTGGCGAATATTGGGTGAAAGTTCCAATCAAAATTTGGAAGTGTAAGAGTAAATTGTAAAGCAACTTTTTTATTTTCTTTGTTTCTGTATCCAGGTAATGCCCTTCTGCGTCGTCTGGTCCGTGTTGGAGTGCTGGACGAGACCAAGATGAAGCTTGATTACGTCTTGGGTCTGCGAGTGGAGGACTTCTTGGAGCGTCGTCTGCAGACACAGGTCTTCAAGTCTGGTTTGGCCAAGAGCATTCATCACGCCCGAGTCCTCATTCGCCAGCGTCACATCCGGTAGGTATTGGACAAAACTTGTCCCCATGAACTCAACTGAAATGTTTACCATAGTTCAGTTGGGTTCCTGCACAGTAAAGGATTTTGTAAAAAGAAGATTCCTTGCCCAAATCCTTTGGATGAGTGGGCTAGTGGAAGTGACAGAAACTATTACTTTGTGGGGGGGGTCACTGTACAATTTTATAGTGCTGATACTGGTGCATTTCTGTTAAAGGAATTGTTTGGTTTTGGCGCAGTTATGAACAGCAAGCAATCCAAGTTTTAACTACATGCTTCATCATAACTAGACAGTTTTTACCTTGCTTCATTTACCTTCCCCTGGCTTATAGACAGCTCCTGTGCTAGTTGTCGCTAGTTGTCTGAGCAAGACCACTGAAACATGGCGAAAACCTCTAGCCTCTCACAGCCAACATTCTCGGCAAGACCACTTGGGCATGGAAGGCCCTACGTCTTTGTCCGTCCACGCACTGGACGCTTGCTGCCAGTAATCTGCATTGTTTCTATGAGGCCACTTGGGCACAGAATGTCCTATGCCTCACCGCTGTGTATTTTCACTGAGATTACATTTCCCCAAGGCCAATGAAGTAGGATCAAGATCCTAGCTTTATGTCTTGGTCCAGTGAGAAAGACAATGTCATCAAGTCTTTAAGGCAGGTATGGAACTCCTACTTGCTTAGCGTCGAACTGCAATTTTGTTGTCATAGAACTTCATGATTGTCTTGCCAACTCTGTATGCCAGTCAACATTTCTTCTTTTTTTGGGGGGGGGGGGGAGGGGGGTTGTTGACATTTCTTCTTGCCTGTTTAAATGAAACATTCCATTTGAATAAACGTATCCATGCCTCTGCAATGATTTGATGGCTTTTTGCACTGATGTCTTCCTATGACCAAGTGTAGTGTACTTCACACTGAATTGATAGCCTCAATCCTTGCTCTTTGAGATCCTATACAAATTCACAAGGAGTTTTGAAAGATTGGTTAGGATTGAGGAAGGTATAGCCAATGTAGGATTTTATAGAATTTCAAGAAGGAGCCCATCAGAAGTACCTGTATCTTTAGTTCAGTAGCTGTCATTAATCCTAACCCTCCAGGGTATTTTGGTTAGAAACCCTTCTGAACACAGCAACATGCAACACTTGTCCAAATGACAAGCCTGCTCAGTGCAGCAAGATCCATTAGGTCAAAAGTCTCAAGGCCAAACTGTCTCTGAGAGTCTGTGGTCACCAAATGCAGCAGGATACAACTCTGGCATTGTTCAATGGGACTAGCCGTCATTGTTGCAGAATTGGCCGTTTATGCACTGGTGTTGATGGCTCAATGCAGCAAGGTCCCACAGACTTTTACACCTGATACACTGTGTTGGGTCTGGCAGGGCAGGCAGCTGCTTTTTAGAAGTTTGTGTTCAGTACAAGGTGGTCACTCAAGATTTTCTTTTCTCCTTCCCTTTTACCTGTCCCCTTCGCTTGCAGCGTCCGGAAGCAGGTGGTGAACATCCCCTCCTTCATCGTTCGTCTGGACTCCCAGAAGCACATTGACTTCTCCCTGAGGTCTCCGCTGGGCGGTGGACGCCCGGGCCGCGTCAAGCGCAGGAACATGCGCAGAGCCCAGGGCGGGGCTGGTGATGAAGCTGAAGAAGATGAGGATTAAACGGGATGCTGCAAAGGGAGGACTGGTGTCTAGAGAGAAACCACCCATGGAATAGACTCGTTAAACACCCTTCTTTTGAAGACTGCTCTATCTTTGGTCATTCCAAGATGGACATAGCGATAGCTTGGTTGATTCTGGTCCAAAGGATTCAGGTGTACCAAGAAGAACTAGTAATTAAATAACGTTGAGCAACTTGAGCTTTTCACCCATTGAGTAGTTAATCGTGATGTCCACAAATTACTGCACTTCATCACACAACATTGCTTGTGAATTTTGCCAATTCATTGCTTGATAAAAAAAAAAAGAATATCCGTTTCCTTGTGGACATGGAGGTTTGTGAAGTTTCCCTGAGACACCTTAAAAACATCTTGTTCTTCCTTTTAGCAAAAATGAAAAGCAGCAGAATAAAAAGCCCTTTATGTTGGGCTAAAATGAAAAATGACAGTAAAAGATGACTCGATGCTGTTTGTTCTTTTCTGTTTGTATCTGCCTTTATCCCCAGTTAACTTTGAAATTCTGGTTATTACTTGAACCTTGCATTGTATCCCCGTACTTGTGTAGTGATCACATTCTGTCATCAACATATGTCTCTGTTCGGACCATCCCTTGTGAAGGGGAAGGGGGGGGGGGAGACTTGTAAGGATGTCCAGTTTCTACCTTGATGTTAAAATCACACCATTCCATTAATCCTCTAAATTTTGTGAAATATTTAGAATTTTGCTGTTTTATATTTGTTTGGCTGTTCCCCTTGTTCACCGACTTTAAAAGGCATCGGTGTTTTAAGAAGAGGAGTGGTCTGTGATGAAATTGTGGAACTTCCTTTTTAATTTTAATCTCAACATCAATCACAGAGAACAAAAATCAACATTGAAAAAACTTTCAGTTAGCCTCGAGGATGGGGGGGTGTTAATCTTTGAGAATATTGAAATTGACTTGAGTTTTGTTTAGAGAAAAAAAATTATGTATTTTCACTCGGCTTGCTGTTTTTGTACAATAAGCCTATTTGATGTATGACAGACACAATAGGAGGGCGCTGTTTGATTTGGATAAAGTCTTTTGTATTTACCCAAACCAAATAAAAAAATGGGGTTGTCAACCTTGTGATGTCCAAAAGTTTTCTGGGTGAAGGTGGACACAAGAAACCCGTATTTTGGAGTGGGAACATTTTGGGTTAATCACAGAGGTAGAAAAATGGGTTAATACTAAAGAGTTTACCCAATTCTACAATTCTAAAGCGCCCCCTACTTTCATCAACTATAAAGCTAGGACTCTAGCTCTTGTCTATGCATCATCAACCATATCCTAGGAGGCAAATATATATATTTGTGTATGAATTCAATAATTTATTTCTGGGCGTTTTTATGCACTTCTCTATTTTCGTCTCGTGAGGGCGCTATAAACTTAGAATAGCGGCGCGGCAGCAGCACTCGACGTAAACACATTTGGTAAACCCCCCTCGATACAGCCGGCCGGCCGGCGACTAATTCCAGACAGAAAATGGCCTCGCACGTCTTTCTTACTATTTTCGTTCATGTCTTTGCGGCATTTTCCCTCGTCTTTTGCCCGTTGATTCTGTCATTAGGCTGGCTGTTGCCTGTGGAATGGTGTTTTTGGATTGCCGTCACTCTGTTGTCGGCATCGGTTTCCGCTCTGTGGATGTATCGTCTGCAGCAACCGAACGACAGTCAACTCGACGCCTTCTTTGGAGATAGCTGGCCCAACCGCGCCGTTTGCCATAGAGGCGCTGCAGGAGATGCACCCGAAAACACTCTGGTTGCCTTCAGAGAGGTAAGCCAGGCGTCTACATTGGCTAGGCAGAATTTGTTAGGAAAATATGATGCATCCTGACGCCACTTTTTTCATCTTATTTTATGATCTCAAGTCAAGTCAATGAAGCATAACTTACCATGGAGGAAGGAAACACGGTAACACAGCCTTAGGCATAGGGCGGCTAGTCATTGTTTTATTTCTCCATGGTCATTGCAATGTTGAACAGACATAATTCTGGGACTGACAAACATTTGAAATTTTGTTAGGAAATACTTTGAAAATGTCCTGGACTCTCCATAAACTTTGTACACAACTGCTGAAGTGGTGTCTGAATATTACTACATTCTTTTGCGTTCGGAGGTCTTTTCATGCTGATTAAGCCAAGTAAACAAATGAATCAGTTTCATGTCCCGGTCGAACATGTAACCAATCGAGCTACTGAAGCATTCAGGTTGGACAGGTAGTTATGAATGTGATAGGCCTATAGGTTCGAAATGGTGATTTTGCAATGCCGTAACGATAGTAGGGCCGAAACGATAGCAGTTGAAAATCACGCCACGGCTGCCGTAACGATAGCCACTCCTTGTTTTTATTCATTGTCATTCCAGGCTCGCAAGAACGGCGCAACGTTTGTGGAGTTTGACGTGGCTCTGACAAAGGACAAAGCACCAGTCATATTTCACGATGACACAGTGGACCGCACCACTGATGCAACAGGGGCACTCAAGGACCTGACACTGGATGAGGTGTTGAAGCTGAATGCTGCAGCCAAAGACCCTCTCAGGTTAGTCCCATTTGGATCCCAGACGTGATCACTGAAAACCAGAAAATTAAAAGACCCGTCATGCAGTGAAGGATAATATGGAAAACACCTGGTTTGCTCAGGCATTATTTCAACATGTGTTGCTGAAGTTGTAGGGATAGTTTTACCATACAACGTTCCAAACGTTAAAAACATCTGATGTTTTTTCACAATGATTAATTTTAAATAGGTATTGTTTCCATTTATTACTTTTGGCCCCACTTGCTAGTATCATAACATTACATCCACCACTTCGTTAAATGCCAGGTAGTCAAGCTATCCGCAGGATATAACAGCAGTACAGAGGATTGTCTACTTTCTAATAACGCATTCGTGTACCTTTTATTGTGCTCAGTCATGGATGGATGGTTGGTACTGCATCAGCAAAATTTAGCAAAATGTTGGTTGTTCTAGCAAGGTCTGAATTTAAAATAAAAACGTACTTCAGATAAAATATCATCAGGATTAATTTGTGTGAAAAAAAACCATCGGACTGGTTTGCATGGCATAGAAAGCATCAGTCATTCATACAGATGCTTTTATCTCTTGACTCGGTCCAGCGATTCCATTTGAAAATTCAAGCCCTACCCTATTATGAAATGAATGGTGCTCAATCAATCATGACTTCAGGAATGCAAGTAAGGTACATGTAGTAATACATCGTATTTGGAAAGCTGGCAAGCCAGTAAGCCACCTAATTGTTACTATACCATCAGTGTTCAAATTCAATATTATCACCTATTACCTAAAGGTTAACTTTTTTTGTTACAGCTGGTAGTGAATGTATTCATTGTCCAAATTGAAAAATGGAAATAATTCTAGTCCTGTTAAATACATTTTACCACAGGGATAAATTTCCGCATGCCAGTATCCCAACCCTTGAAGAGGCCACTGTAGAGTGTCTGGGCCTTGGAATGAACATCTTCTTTGATGTCAAGGATTGGTCCACAGAGGTAATACAATGCATCCACTCATGCGTCGGCTATTTCCACAGGATCATGTTCCTCAGCATTCAGGGAATTTTTTATTGAACAATTTCTAGGATTTTCCCTTCCACAGTGTGGATGTGCGTACTTTTTTTTTTTTTTATCAAACCATCAAAAAGCTATTTGAATATTGGTTGATGATTGAACATTCTGTATATTTGGGACAGCTGTATTTCATATTCATTCATACAGTAACTTCTCTTTTACGTTCTGTTAATTTCTTTCATCAAGTTTAAATCTAAGGAAAAGACATTTGTAGGTTTTGCATCATCTACGTGCAACATACATGAATTTGGCAACACATATTTTCATATTTAAGTCTGATTTGCTATAATGGTGCAACTATGTGTGGGAACTGATAAACTTTTTTCATTTTTGACGTGTAGATGGTGAATGCCCTAACTGCGCTGTTCCAGCGGCATACTGAACTGTATCAGAAAGGAATGGTCTGCTCATTCTTCCCCATGCTGTCATACAAGGTACAAGAATTTCTAAGAATTTTAAAAAAATGTTTATTGCCATTATAATATGCAACCTTTTGGTCTGATTCATATTGGTGAAAATGATGAAGATGGCCATCGTAATGTTATACAAATAAAATCTGGACTTCTCTTTTTTCGAGAGGCAAAGCCGAGTGAAATTGAAAAGTCCAGATTTTACCGAGCGATAATATTCCTCCCATTTCACAATTTGAAGCCACTCAATATTGTTTTATATAACTGACATATAGATCCTTGTCATTTAATTTACAGTTTGAATGAACTTCTATTTCAATACAAAATTGGTGGGAAATGTATTTTTCTCTTCTAAGCAACCCCTTCAGGAAATGTTTGAACCCAACTCTGCAGCTAGCTACTGGCTCTTGTGAACAATACGCGCTACACACAACACTCAACGCGCAAACCAGCATGCAATGTACACAAATACTGCGCCATGGAACAAGGATGATCCTAACTGTTGAATAGTAAATCCCATTCACCACGGGCAAATGGGATGTTTTGAGCCCCGGCGTGAATGGGAGCAATAATGAATGTCATGTGATGTGAGTTCCACCAATCAAATGACCAGGATCTGTATGTCAGTTATATAAACATGGATGTACTCAGTGTTTGACCAGTAAATGGCATTTTGTGATCACTTTAAGAGTCCTGGTTGGATTTGACATGTGTGCGTATGGTGCAAAGTACGCACAGCTAAATTTATCCTAAATGTGCACAAACTCAAAGCGGTTTTCGCAAGCATCAGGCGTCGTCAGTAATTCGTTCAAATGTCCCTCCCCAGTGTCCCCCCACTTGCTTTCTAACCATTGAGAGGGTACTTGTTGTTGGTTAGATTCGTCGGCAGGACCCAGCTATCTTGACGGCCCTCACTACCTGCACTACCACGGTACAGTATGGGTTTGGTTGTGACGTGACCGGCCCAATCTGGAAACGCTACCCATGCATCTTAGCTGATTACCTACTGGTCTGGTGCCAGTCTGCTTGGCTGTGGATTCTATGTGGGAACGCGGCCACACTGCTTGACAAGAAGATAGTAACAGAGTAAGTATATCCTTAATCTCAGCACTATACATGAACCTCAAAAAGGCCTGCTCTCTTTTTCCAAATTCCATGCAGTAATCTCCTTTTAACTTTATATTTCAATCTTCATATTGCGCTTTTCAAGGTGTTTTGATGCCTTTTAGGTTTTGATGCTAATGCAATTGTCCATATTTATCAGTACTCAGTGATGTCATTCAAGGCAGACACTTCAGTGCAGCTGCTGCTTTTGCATCAAAAGTTGCCAGAATTGGGGACTATTTTTGCAGTGGTACGTTTTCTGTTTTTTGGGCGACTGATTGAATGTTTTAGTGCATGACAGTAACTCAATGACTGAAATTTTCTCACAAACATTTTCATTGAGCAATTTTTGGGTTTACTATTTGAACAGCAAACTCTGTGTGCCTTAAATGACATCACAGCAACAGCCCCCTCAGTTGTCAGAAAAAGCATGGAACATTTGAGACCCGCTCTGCAAAAATGAGTCTGATGTCGCATAGCTTGAATTCCAGCTTTTACCACTTTTAAATGGAAACAGTGAAAATTTGCTCAAAATTTGGATTTTTTTGTTTTTGTTTTATTTTGGTTGTTTGATTGTTTTAGTTCAGATATCTTACACAGAAATTTAAATATTGTAAGAAAAAGACTAACAAATTTATGATTTTTGGTGCTTTTCTTGGTTAGTTACTGTGTATTTGTAATTTTTAAACCCTTTTTTCTTCATTGAGACATTTCTTGCTTTGCAAAAACTTGACAGAATTAAAAAAGGCACAACAGTGCTACCAAACGTCCTGGAGAGGTCTGTGATATACCAAATGAAAGCTTACTTCATTCCCATTTTATTAATGTAGTTAACTCAAAATTTCAGTTTTGCCACAACAGACTCATTTTTGTGGAGCGGGTCACATTTTTCTTTTTGTTGTTGTTGGTAAACTCGGCAAAGATTCTTCATTTTACAGTGAGCAGAGACATTAGATTGGGCCGGGATTTGTTCCAGTTTAGGATGACTGGTAAGTGCTAAACCTTCTCTCTTTTTTGGCATTTTTTTGTAGAGGTACTGTGGACTATTGGGCTCAGCGGGGCATTAAAACTGTGGTATGGACTGTGAATGATAACACAGAGAAGGAGTACTTCCACAAATGCCTCAAGTGTGGTATTATCACAGACAACGTGAAGTCGTCTTAACTTTTTCGTACCAAAGAGGAATGATTTTTAAGCAATTGCAGTTTGATTGAATTTGTCTTACTAATATGAGATTAAATTAATCCTTTTGAACATTTTGTGATTTGACGTTTCCCGAATCTTCCAAAATCCAACATCGGTGTTGGAAATCCATTGGAATATTCTTTGTAGTAAAACTAAACTTCAAAGGGTATCCAACCAAATGTGGGGTTAATACTGGTCTCTACCGCCCTGCTCCTTTTATGCTGTAAAGTTGCCAAAAACTATCTGATGGATTCTGAATAATCTAGGAAGATTGAGGTTTCATAAATGCACAAAAAGTTTATTACTAAATATTATTTATTTAATTCTTGCAACTGAAAATATGTTATCAAATATAATACACTTAAATATATTAATAGATTATTAAACATTTCACAAATTCTTCATAACATTTATCAAACGAATTTAATATGCTGCAGCAAAATTACTTGAATGCCATTTTTGGCTTAATATAATCGATCAATCCATTGTGTTTTTAGTTACATATAATGGATGATGACTGTAAAACAAAACAAAACTAAACAATTGAACTATCAAAAAAATGCAATAATAAACCCTCCATAAACCTGTGTCATCTTTAAGTTTACAGGTTTTGTGGAAAAAAAATCATCAATTTCTATTAAAAATACTGCCATTGATTGACACGAGAATTGAAAAATGAAAATTCCCGATTGTCCTTGGCCAAAAGAACCAAGCGATACAGAAAAAAAGTAAATGTGAACTGGACACTAAACGTACATTTAAATAATTGAATCAAAATAAATAAGCGCATATTTTCAAACGGGCGATTTCAGTGAGAAGTAAATAAATGTTTACTGAATCAAATTGTTTCATTAGAAAGATTCCTTAATGAACAGACAATCTTTGACTATGACGTTGACTCTTGGTTGACTTTTTAAAATATTTTAACCAATAATTCACAATATACTTGAACTGAATGGTAGCAAAACTAAACGCCACAACAAAAAACTGATGTGTTTTAAATAAATTCCAGTTGTTCGTGATGCAACAGGTAGTTAGTGATTTTTTTTTCAGGTAACATGCCAGGAATCTCAATAAAAAAATGTCTAATCCAAATTTCAATGCAAAGATTTTATTGAAATGTTTAAGAGATTATTAAAATGTATACTTTGTTGGGTATTGTAAAAAAAAAAATGAAATGCATTATTAATGGAATTTACATTTTGAATACATGTAGTTATTTGGACTTTCTGCTGCCTTATTTAGATTTTAGTAAATATGAAAAACAATGCAATTTTAAATACTAGATTTATTATGGGCATGTTTTACACTTTGGCATTATTGCTGTTAGTGTCACAAATACTTCAGCTACTTCCATGTTAGAAGTAGCTTTTAATGTACATGTATATTAATGTATGTATTTAATTAAAAGTGTTCCATTGAATGGACATCTACTTAACCTGTTGATGTTGTGTATAATTCTAGAGTAATATTGATACATTTTGATTGAGAGTTGATTCTTTAATCCTTGTTCAAGTTACCTTTGCATGCTGCTTTTATACAATCATAAAGTTTTGTTTTACTGAATAAAAATATGCACAAAATACACACAAGTTGTGATGGAATCTTTCTTTCTTAAGTAAGTAATCATCAAGTATCCCTTGTTGGACCAATCATGCCACTTGGGAAGGAGGACCATCACAACCTCGTTCCCAGGATGTCGAGCAGTTCGCTCCCACCACTACCTGCAATAAAGTAGGCCCTGGGGGCGAGGTTGGAACAGTCACGGCTGATAACCAATCCAAGTTCGGACGCTTCCAAAAGTGCAGAATGTTTTGAGGCTTCTTCCTCAGTGTCATCTCTTTTCTTCTCTAATTCAGCAAAGAAGCTAAACTACGTAAAGATGTGTGCCGCACTTTTTTGTCCAGGTTGTACCACGCCACATTTGTGTACAAAATTGCAAATGGTGGTCACGTGACACTGACTTGCACTGCGCAGAAGCGAACCGTTTACTTCAGCGCACTTGTCACTTGATATGGGCGGCTCCCAAAAGAAGTTGACCACACACTGGACACTGTACAGTCAAATCGATTTTTAAATATAAACAAGAAAGACACTTGGGTGGATTTACCTGTCAGCAACCGATACACATGACGTCACTACAAAGGTGTGCGCATGCGCCGTGTACTGGTGTCCATCACTCACTGGCTACCGTGATTAGTCCAAGCAGCCTACGTGTCGGCCTATACATATACATGTACTGTTTTTGCATGAAATAAGTCAAAGTCTTCCCAAGCGCTAACTTTCGTCACAAATCCCTTTTGAACAGTCTGATAACACCTTCGTCGTGCAGTTTCATCCACAGTTTGCGCTCGTTGTCGACGTTGTGCGAGGCGGTCGACTTTTGCGTATGCTTGATGAACTTGGAATCATAGTAGTGCATGGTGAAGCGGGGATCGTACCCGAAGCCATAAATAGTTACCTCGTCACAAATGTGCAGGGACATGATCACAACTATCGACCCTGTTGGAAACGAGGATGAAAATAATGTCAACTTTTATGCTACTTTTTGCAACAGTGTTCAGAGGCAACACCTGTGGAAAAAATAGGAAAACCTCCACCAAACTGATTGGAACCTTTTAACAATAGGCCTACCTGTTGTCGGTCGAGCTTTTCTCATCAAATACACTTGGGAAACGTAGTTGAAGAATGCAGGATGAATAATCTTTAATTTGGATGCCTCTAAGCCGGGTCTTTTCATCCCCCTACGAAGAAAAAAATATGAATCTTTCACAAAGTGTGCATCATGGTCCTATACCATTCATTATTTATTACTTAATGAAGAACAATGGGTCATTTCGGTAAACGAATGACTCTTAAAACAATCCAAATAATAATTTGTGGTAAAACATCTTTTCTACATCTCGATTATCTTCAGTGACTGATTTTGTTTTAGCTAATACCGGTGTCATAAGTGCGTATGTTTTTTTAAAGCTAATGTATACCAATCACCATTTGAAATCACGTGCGTTGAATCGAATCTCGCATGGTACCACGAGACTTACCTGGATGTCGCTGTGATATTATATCTTGGTGATTTGTCCCCTTGGATCAGTTTCTTGGCGTAAGCGACATCGTAGGCTTTAAACATGGCATAGAAGGCGATCATGCTCTGTCATAAGATAGCAATTCAACAACAGTAATGTGGGTTTTCTCTCGACTTGACAACATACTCCATCTTATCATTTACTGAGTCATATCGCTCAATAGATCTCCTTAAAGGCGACCGGCAGTTTCTGAGCGAAACGTTGACTGCAAAATTTGGGAGGGATTTGTGAAGGCTATACACTATGTTATCTACACAATACAATTTTGAATGCAATCAAAGCTAAATTTCCTTTCGACAAAATAAATCCATGACCGAAGACAACATTGGTATACTGCGTGCCATATGGTCCCTTATATTCAAAAGCTTATAAAGTTTGCTGCAAAAACAGATGGCACTGGCTCCTTATGTTTAGGCCAAGTGGCAATGGGAGAAATCTCTTGTGTCCGTCTATTGTGGTTAATTTGTCGTAAGACAGATTTTGCTCATGTCCCATCATTTCCCCCTTTTCCTCACCTTATCTTCAACATTTCCGATTCCTTGCGACTCGGGGAAAAAAGTGTAGAACGTTGTGCGTCTCCCAACGTCTGTAGCAAATCGTCCTCTCGACAACGCCCGATTGACCCTGCAAGTTGGTAATTGAAGGAGCATGAACTGATGTCAAATTTGGTGTAAGACATCGCATGGAAACTGACTTACAGTAATTTAGTCACAACCAATTAGGTAGCTCAACAGCAGTGTTTATCTAGTGGTAGCCAGGGGCTATCGTAGTTAGTAAATGAGCAGGCACCGAGACGTTAACTGGGGCGGATGCACATTGCGCCTGCTAAGCACCAGACTGAGCACATGCAGTTTTGAGCGCGAGTGCAGTGCGCGCGAACTTTGCGGAGTAGCCTAAGTCAGCAGTTGCAACGAGTTACAACAATTTCAGGTAAAGTTCCAATTTTCGTATAGTTTGTGCCTATTGGCTCAAAATTCTGACAGGGAAGATCCTCCATCCTGTTAACGATGTTGAGAGAGCAGGGAACACCAACCACGTTGGTACTATTCATCCATTGTCATGCCTGTAAAGCATTAAAGTAAAATACTAAGTCTTGCTTGAGTTCCATGAAGTGTTTGTGTCATTTGTGTGACAAATAATTCTTGTTTAATTATTCACCTGAAGACGTAGTCGTGACCGTCTATTTCCGCGCCTGCTCCGGAGCCATTCAGGATACCACCGCTACCGACCACAGCACAACGGATGCAGCCCGCCTTGCGATGTGCGCCGTGGATCGAAGGGTTAGTGAAATTCGGGTTCTTTAAAACTAGGTCGAATTCTGAGGGGAAAGAATAGTGTTAAAAATAAAATTGTACTTTTCATACTCGGCTGTTTCTTATGAAGACTCTGCAAATAGAAGACCTAATGCGAGTGAGTACATTCCCAACTTGATGGTCTCAAAATGCATTTTGATTTTAAATTAATGATTTTTGTTTTCAAATGAAATTGGGGTACAGTGTCCTCTATACTACATGGAGCTCACATTAATTATGCATCATTAAATGATCATTGTTCATCATTCCTAAACATTGCATTCAATCATTTATCATATAGACCTTGGGCCTATGTTGGGCAAAACCAATCCCATACAATTCGTTTGACTGCTAATATAACTCGCTGACTGCTGTCCACAATAACTGACTTGAGCATAAAGTTATGAGGAGATGTAAACTAAAGGTGCATATTGATAATGATGCTTGTCCATTCAACTGGCTATACTACCCCCTCAACGGTGACAGTATACCAATATTAAAGGACAATGTTCGGCAATGCGTTGACAGAGGTGTCCTTCATTGGCTTGCACCATTAAGCCAAATAGCGCCACCTATTGTTCCTGCACAGACCTCTACAATTATATTATAGTGCCTGTCCTCACCTGTGTGATTTTGACCTTTGAACCCATACGGAAGACCACGTGTTAAGTAGCTTTTGTAGTTGTTGATGTCGTTTTTGTCCAAAAAGAGCTTGACTTTCGGCTGGTATCTTCCCTGGAACCACTTGGAGTACTTGGTTAAAGATTTCAGTGTCCTGGTACATTTCTAGATGAGTGGGAAAAGGGTATATACAGTTTTGTGGTAGTGCCTTCCGATATGTTTGGGTTTCGATTTGATTTAATTTCATACATATCGTGGCCTAACGGCCATATTACATGTACATGTGTATGCTACATAATTATGTTTTGCACTGAACCTTATGCGTAGCGGCCATCTTAGAGGACATCTTCTGCTATTTTAATTCAGAAACAATGAATGTGCATAAGGTTCACTCATGCATATCCCAGCAAAAAAAAAGAAAGGCATTGCCCTCTAAGATGGCTGTTATACGCATAAGGTCTATAAGGAATATTATTTTACGACAATGTCTATAGTGCATGGGAACAATTGTATTTGGGGTGCAAAAGACGTTATCCGATTTCTTAATTTCTTAAAGTAACATTCATGAAATTTCCACGACCAATTCTCTGAAGTTGAATTCTCTTCAATCAAAAAATTGGTATTGACATTCAACATAAGCAGTGCATCTAATTCGAATTATGTGACCTGTACTAGCTCGCATCCATCACTTGCTTGTGAGAGAAGTTAACGTTGGCGCCTAAAGAGGTAAGTTGAAATGAGAGTCGATTGGTTCTGAGAAGGTGTTGACACGACGTAAAGAGCAGATAAGTTACAACAAATACTTACCAGTGGCTCTTCAGTTATTTTGTTGAGTTCCACCACTGTGTGATTTCCTTTGAGTTGCTGGGACTGATTCCCCCGACTACCCGCTGGAGACAGCGAGTTCGTGTGATTTCCAATGAGTAGCCGGGACGCATTCCCACGTCTCCCCGCTGGTGACTGCGAGTTCGCCTCGATCTCCATGGTATGTCTAAGATGTTCCTGGCGATGGGCTTGCCTGAAACCGTCTCCTTGGGCAGCCCAGGGGTAGGCCATGTGCTGCTCCTGCTTCGTGGAGGTGCTGACCAGTAAGATAACACCGTATAGGAGAACGCCTCCTGCAAGGGCGGCCTTGATGCGCCTAGAGCGGGCAATCTTGGACCTCATTGACGGCATCTCG